AGTACAAGCCTGTTCAGCAAAAACTTCGAATGATAAGACTGGACATGCTATTAAAAATTAAGAAAGAATTGAAGAAACAATCTGATGCTGGATTTTTACAAGTATCCAAATACCCTGAATGGGTAGCAAACATAGTGCCAGTACCAAAGAAATATGGCAAAGTTTGAATATGTGTAGATTACCGAGATCTCAACCGAGCAAGTCCCAATGATAATTTTCCACTTCCACATATTGACACTTTGGTTGACAATACAGCTGGTCATGCTCTTTTCTCCTTTATGGATGGTTTTTCAGGGTACAATCAAATCAAAATGAACACTGAAGATATGGAAAAGACAATGTTTATGACAATGTGGGGCACTTTTTGTTATAAGGTGATGCCCTTTGGACTCAAGAATACTGGTGCAACATATCAAAGAGCCATGGTTACTTTGTTCCATGACTTGATGCATAAAGAAATAGAAGTATATGTGGATGATATGATTGCCAAATCACAAACCGAAGAAGAACATGTGATTGTCTTGAGGAAGCTATTTTTAAGATTGAGAAAATACCAGCTCAAACTTAATCCAGCCAAGTGCACTTTCGGAGATACTTCAAAGAAATTATTGGGATTTGTAGTCAGTGAAAATGGGATAGAAATTGATCCTGATAAAGTCAAACCAATCTTGGAATTACCAACCCCTAGAATGCAAAAAGAAGTACGAGGATTTCTGGGGAGGTTAAATTATATTGCCAGATCCATCTCTAAGTTAACTGAGAAGTGTGATACAGTCTTTCGATTATTGAGAAAGCAAAGCCCATGAGAATGGGATGATAGTTGCCAAGAATGTTTTGATAAAATTAAGAATTACTTGACTAACGCTCCAGTCCTAATGCCACCAATCCCAAATAAACCATTGATCTTATACTTGACTATCTTTGAGAAGTTAATAGGATGTGTACTGGCACAACATGACGAAACTGGAAGAAGAGAAAGAGCTATTTACTATCTCAGTAAAAAATTCACTGACTGTGAGAGTCGATATTCCTCAATTGAAAAGTTGTGTTGTTCTTTAGTATAGAGTACTAAGATATTGAGACAATATTTGTTGTATCACACAATCTGGTTAATATCAAGACTGGATCCATTAAAATATAGGATGAAATCAATTGCTTTAACTGGAAGAATGACAAGATGGCAAATGTTGTTGTCCGAATTTGACATAGTGTATATAAATCAGAAAGTAGTAAAAGGAGGTGTTATTGTTGATTTCCTAGCAAGAACAGCATTAGAAGACTATGAGCCAGTAAAATTTTATTTTCCAAATGAAGACTTAATGAGTAAATTTATGGCGGAAGAAGATTCTCCAAATAATGAGGCCTGGAAAATGAACTTTGATGGTGCCTCGAATGCTGTGGGATATGGAATTGGGGCAATACTAGTTTCACCAGAAGGAGATCATTATCCTTTTACTAGTAGGCTCGTATTTGAATGTACAAACAACATGGTAGAATATGAAGCATGTATCTTGGGTATTCAAGAAGCAAGTGAGTGCAAAATTAAAATCTTGGAAGTATTTGGTGATTCTGCTTTGGTCATTTATCAACTTCGAGGGGAATGGATGACTCGAGACTCCAAATTGATAGAATACAAGGACTTGGTGATGAATTTGATCAAGGATTTTGAAGAAATTTCTTTCACTTATCTTCCTTGTGAAGAAAATCAAATGACGGATGCTCTGGCTACGTTGGCATCCATGTTTAAGGCTGATGATCAGTCTCGAATGATGCCTATTCGAATGAGTATAAGAGAAATGCTAGCTCATTTTTGCAACATTGAGGAAGAGGAGGAAGACAGTCTCCCTTGGTATTACGATATTCTTCAATATGTGGTATCGAGCTTATTCAGTTGAGGCAACTGAAAATGACAAACGAACTTTAAGAAGATTGGCAATGGAGTATGTTTTCGATGGAGACATTTTGTACAAAAAAGAAAAGTTCATGTTCCTTTGAGATGTGTGGATAGAATTGAAGCCAAGAAAATACTTGAAGAAGTCCATGAAGGAGTTTGTGGAACACATGCAAACGGATTCACAATGGTTAGACATATCATGAGGTTCGGATACTATTGGTCCACTATAGAAGGAGATTGCATTAGATTTTCTCGAAGATGTCATAAATGTCAGATCTACGATAACCAAATACATGTTCCTCCTTCACCACTCCATGTAATGAATTCACCTTGGCCATTTTCAATGTGGGGCATCGATGTTATTGGAGCAATTTCACCGAAGGCTTCAAATGGACATCGTTTTATCTTAGTGGCCATCGACTACTTCACCAAATGGGTTGAAGCTGCCTCTTATGCTAATGTCACAAAAGGAGCAATTTGCAGATTCTTAAAAAAAGAAATCATTTGTAGATATTGAATACTAGAAATGATCATCATAGATAATGCATTGAATCTGAATAATGATTTAATGAAAGAAGTCTGCACAAAGTTGAAGATAAAACATCAGAACTCGGCTCCTTATCGCCCAAAAATGAATGGGGCAGTAGAGGCAACGAATAAAAATATCAAGAAGATCATCACAAAAGCAACTGAAACATATAAAGAATGGCATGGGAAATTACCTTTTGCACTGCTTGCTTATCGCATATCTGTTCGTACATCTATTAGGGCAACACCGTTTTCTTTGGTATATGGGATGGAAGCAATTTTACCTGTTGAAGTAGAAATTCCTTCTTTGAGAGTATTGATGGAATTGAAACTTGATGAGGCTGATTGGGTACAAAGTAGATTTTATCAATTGAATTTGATTGAAGAGAAAAGACTGAGAGCTATTTGTCATGGCCAAATGTACCAGAAAATGATGATACGAGCTTCTGACAAGAAGGTCAGACCTCGAGAATTTTATGAAGGTGATTTAGTGCTGAAAAAGATCCTCCCTATGTAAAAAGACTTTCGAGGAAAGTGTATGCTAAACTGGGAAGGTCCTTATGTTGTAAAAAAGGCATTTCAGGAGGAGCTCTGATTTTGACTGAAATTGATGGAGAAGATTTGCCTAATCCTTTGAATTCTGATTCAGTCAAACGATATTACACTTGAAGAAGAAGAAAAAGAAAAGAAAAAGAAAGAAAAAGAAAGGAGGGCTCAAGATGAAAACCTAAAATGGGTGTCTTGAAACCAAATGAGGATTCGAGTTGAAAATCTATAATGGACAGATCGAATATTCAAGATTTAAGATAACATATTCCCTCGAAAGCCTAACAATTCAGGGAAAGATTATTATACTCACACATATTTTGTATGATCTGAATCTTCAAGACACATGTCAACTTTCAAGAAAGATTTGGATGAAGAAATACAACGATTCAACATTTGATATCTGCTGTATTTATTTTTCTTGTGATATTTATTTGTTTCTTGTCCCAAAGGGTTATACTTTTTCATTACCTCTTTTAAATGAAATGTTTTGAATTTGATTCATTACTCATTGCATACAATCGCCAAAACAGTGATCAATAACAACATCGTTTATTATGTTTTACGCTGAAAAGTGTCAGAGTATGGGATTTCAAAATGAGTGTTTATCAGAGAGCACATACAAAAATATGATCATTGAGAAAGAAGGGCTAAATTGAGTAAATTAGTTTTAACCTAATCTTACCTTTCCCAAGCAAAGAAGTCCGAATTTGAAGATGAACAACAAGAGAGGCCATTCATTCCGATTGAATTCCTTAAAAAATCAACCAGTAGCCAAAGAATTAACAAAGCAAGATAAACTTTCTTGGGTGGATCATAGAATCCAAGTTCATGCACAAGAGGTTCAGAAAGTACCACAATCATAACCCAAACATTGGAAAAAGTATAAACTTCATGTGTTCTGATCAAAGAGCATCAGAAAACTCAATTGCCAGTCTCGATTTATGCATAACCCTTTAAACATGCATGACAACTCACATACATTTAGATCATCTTTAGGGCATATTCCAAATATAAAATCATGGCATATGACATTTTACAGGATCTTCAAGACCTATCTCATCATTGAATCAACGAATCAATCATCATCAGATATGGCCAGATCTCCTCATCACATAGGAGCCATGTCAACTCTGGATAACCAAGATTCATCATAGTATGAGCATTGATAACCAGCCGTCCTCATCACGTAGGAACCGTGTTATCACCCTTAGATGGCCAAAACTCATGAACAAATGAGTAGTGTCATCATATGACCAGATCTCCTCATTATGTAAGAAGCTCTGTCAACTTAGATAACCAGCCGTCCTTATCACGTAGGAACTGTGTTATCACCCTTAGATGGCCAAGACTCATGAACAAATGAGCAGTGTCATCACATGACCAGATCTCCTCATTATGTAAGGAGTTGTGTCAACTCCGATAACCAGCCGTCCTCATCACGTAGGAACCGTGTTATCACCCTTAGATGGCCAAGACTCATGAATAGATGAGTAGTGTCATCACCTGACTAGATCTCTTCATTATGTATGAGTTGTGTCAACTCAGATAACCAGCCGTCCTCATCACGTAGGAACCTTGTTATCACCCTTAGATGGCCAAGACTCATGAACAGATTAGCTGTGTCATCACTTTAACAGATCTTTTCATCACATAGGAGCAGTGTCGTTTCCCAAATCAAACACTATCATGTTTCCAAAACCAAAAAAAAAAACTAGACAAAAACTGGTTTTCTTTTTCGTCTTTGCCCTATTCTTTTTAACACAAGAATGTGCAAAGAGGGGTAGTTGTAGACACCTATTTTTGTCTGGGTTTATTATTATTATTATTATTAATAAAATAAAATTACATGTTTTCATAACAATCCCGGAGGTCAGTACAACCCATCAACTTATTAAAGACCCATTAAGAGTCCAAGTACATTAACCCGATAGATTCAGGCCTGAGTTGACTCAAACCTGGCCTAATTCAATAATCAGTAATAATAAGGGTTTTTAAACCCTAAATCAACCTAATTGCCAGCAATAGAAGACTACATCTCCCGTCGGCGCTGCCTCTCTCCCTTCGTGAATGGACCACCGCCGAATGCTTCACCGCCGAATGCTTCACCGCCGATCAATAAGGATACCTCGTCATCACTTACGCCAAACATCACTCAAATGCACAAAAATTCAACAGAATATTAGTGCTCCACTAAACGTATTTTTAAACTAAATAAAATCTTGAAAAAATCAGTAGGCTTCCCTACCCATTATTCGGCATCAGTGGAAGATCCATTACAAAACAACTATAAATGAATGACACCATTTGAATGAAAGGGGGAAGAGGAGCTTTACCTTGAATCCTTCGAAAAATATAGATCCGCTAATTGGATTGCAAACCTGAATGGTGAAGAGGTTTAGAGTGGTGAGTAGGCTAACATATCTTGACAGTGGCCTCATCGGACGGCGGGTTTAGCGGCGATACAAGGTAAACCTTACGATTTCCTTTTCTAGATCTAGGTTTATATGCAAGTTTTTAGGTTAAACTAAGGCTAAATATAGGGTGAGGGTAACAAAAGGAGCATTTTGAGAGGGATTGGGTACCTTTGGTCGCAGGAACTGCTGTGCGTCGTCGCTTGCCACCGCGAGCTCTGTCGCGGTTCCCTTTCTCGGGGAGGGGAAAGTTGAGAGAATTTTCAGCTTTCTCTCTCTTATTTCTGTTGAAACAAATAAAATGAACAGTGGAGAATTAAAATCCCGTATTTTGGGCTTATATGTCCTTGATGAAACGACGTCGTTTCAACAGGGACCTTTTCTGCATTTTTTTAATGGTATATTAAGGATTTAAGTCCCTGTTGTTTTGTAATATAATATTTTAAACATTAAATGAAGTTTTTTTTTTATTTTAATTTCAAGAGCTTATATTTTACCATTTACATTTTAATCCTATTTTTATATGTTACGTATTATTGTAAATATTTTACATAGGTCACTATATGTTTAATTATTATATTATAGTCATTGACTGTGTATTATATTTTTTATTTAAATTTGATCTTCAAATTTATTATTCTTTTGTTTTTAGTCACCTAATTATTTAATTTGTTAGTATTTGTTATTTCATGTTGTAAATTAGTATTTAAGTCATGTTAATATCTATATTAATTTGAATATATATATATATAACATTAATTTAAATTTATTTGATTTTGTTCTAAACATATAAGGTAGTTTCAATTGTATTTATTTAATAAGTTTATATATTATAAAACTTTAATCTTATTTAATTTATTATATATACCGGTTTATTTGTTACTTATTATATTTTAAAAATCTTATGTATTTATATGTATATATTTTACTATTCTAACTTTTAGAAAACATTATTTTATTAATTTTGATGTTATTTATTCGAATATATTTCAAGAACACTTTTAAATAATAAATTCAAAGTAAATTAATCACACTTTAATAAACGGATCGTATTTTAACTTTATATTTGATTTGTAATTTCCACCATTTATGACAATATGTAAGTGACACAGTACCGATTTTGGGCGCTGTGGGGGTGTTAATCCTTCCCCACGCGTAACCGACTCTCGAACCCGTTTTAATCGAATCTTTGTAAACGCAGACCAGCTTTTGTCTTAAAAAATAATTTTTCTTAAAATTGTTTTAAAAAGACATTTTTAGGTATTCGACCTACCTAAACCAAAGGTCGATGGCGACTCCTTTTCAATTTAATTCCAATTAATCCAAAATCACCAAAATTTTCAAATTAAAAGTAGTAACTGTTTTTAAAACAACATTTAATTGTTCCAGCTAAAAATGGTTATGACAGCTTGGTGACTCCGCTGGGGATTTTTTAGAGAGTTAGCCTGTAAGTCGCTTACATATTGTCGTTTGGTGGAAATTATGAGTTCGAGTCTTTGGTTAACTTATGACCCTTTTATTGAAGCTTTTAATTACTTCATTTTATTATTGTTTTACTAGCATTTTTATTTTTACTTTCAGATTTTTTCAAGTTTTTGTCGAGAGATTTCGTTTTTCTTTTAAGTCAAAGGGTTGAATGTTCCTCCTCACATACATCAAGCATATTTACATATCATAAGTTCACTTATGAGCTTTGTCCCTTTTAAGTTGAGATGAAATCTTAGCCTACGTGAGATAATTTGTTTCTCTGCACGGGTTTTAGCAAGTAATCTTTGGGGTTCATATACCTTATGTCTACGTGAGATAAATTGTTTCTCCGCATGGACATACGGGAATGTATCCTCTCGAATTGAACTCGATTCACACGAGCCTGTAATGGGCTAGGATTGAGGGTTTGGTAGCCCAAGGGGGCACCGACATCAAGGACAATTCGAGTACCTTTATTCCCGTTAGAGCCGAAACCATACATATAGTGAACCGTAGCATGGTCACCCTAGGTATAACTATACCGAACATCTGTTCGTCAATAGGTACCCAAATTAAGTGTACACAAAGGATGAGCATTTCTAAACCTTTTTATTTTATGTTGAATAACAACATGTGAACTAGATATCATACGGTTATGTTTAATTTCTTGAAAATAATTATCTTGGGTAGAAAGCATGTTTGGGTAGGATCGTTATCTATTTAAAGCATGCCCGGGTAGATATCATGAATGGGTAGGTGTTATATTTATCTGTAGATAGCATCTTTTAATTATCATGTTGGTACTAATTCATTTTTCTCTTTTGTTTGTGACACTAATTTATTTTGTTTGTGACACTAATTATCCTTTTCAATTTAATTCCAATTAATCCAAAATCATCGAATTTTTCAAATTAAAAGTAGTAATTGTTTTTAAAACAACATTTAATTGTTCCACCTAAAAACGGTTATGAAAATTATAATAATATCTCTTTCTATATTTTTATCAATTAGATATCTATTTTACCTGATAAAATAAAAATTATATATGTATATATTTATGTCCGATCGAGTGTGAATTTTTATCTAATAATCGGATTAAATTTTGTGTTGGATAGAACCTTTTTAAACTAGTATCAAGTCAAGTGACGAGTGGAATTATGGGGGATATAATATCCAAATCATATTCAGTTGGACATAAATCATCAGAAATGGACATGAAATATTGATAATGGGACAACAATCACATGCACCACTACAAATGTATTATGTATGATGCATACATGTATTTCCATTCTTTCTTGACACTCAAAATTTGACAAAAGCAATATGTTAAGAGCCAAAACGTGCTTTTATATCCGCTACAGTCAAATTTCTGGGAATACATCTGTGATCAGCACTAATTAGATAGTTGGCCAGTTTCCAGCATCTTGAAATTAGCTGACCATATTCCCATATGTAATGGGGTGAGGGGAGGTAGGATAGTAGGTTGCCCCCAACGCCAGGTTGAGAGCAGCTTCCGTGGAAGATCTCTGACAATCAGAATTATGAATTGCCTACCGTGAGACTCGATCCCAGGACCACAAGATTAAGAGCTTTGCGTTCTTTTCCACCATCTTGAAATATATAAACTAATATATAATTCTCAATTATTAAAGAACAACTTTTCTATAATGGTAACTTGGGCAGGCTGGAACTAGTATTCCAAGTAACTTTGCAAAAAAAAAAAAAGTTTAAAATCCAATTATTTGCCTAATTAGTGGACACTTCTTAAAGACAGCTTTAATAATACAATCTTTTTAAGATTTTCGACATCCATGACTAGTTTGTGGAGGCCAATCTGCTTATGTTTTCAGATTGCATCAACAAACACATGGTAGTGGTGTAAATGTGGACCCCAAATTGATTGAATTATGGAGATAAAAAAAAATGGATTCGTCAATTAGAATGAAGTAGTTTGGATTTTGAAATCATTGTTATGGTTGATGATAGTAAATTTTTCTCTTCGATCGTTAACGGTTTATCTCTTTTAGTTTGGGTGAAGAGTTAAGATCGACGAAGAAACGACCATTAACTGTTGTTTATCTATCACAGAGTTGTGGTCTTAGAGAAGATGAACATTGGGGTAATAATTGTAGATGATTCGTTCCTCTCTACAGTCTTGACGGGGATATTTATAAAAGTTCTAGCTGATGATATCAGTCATAGGGTAATTATGGTTATTTGTAGACTAACGGGTTAAATAAATTTATTAGTGAGTTATTGAATTTCGTTCTAACATGTTATGTGTATTAGTCAGAGATCTATACGTTATAATTGTCTGGAAGGGCTGCATGCTCTGATAAGCGGCGAAGTATGCATGCAGAGCTTGACTAATGAAGTTGGATTTAGGTTTACGAAGGTCATCTCTGAAGGCATAATCATTATCGTAAATGTAAACTTGTTTTATTCAAAAGATCACCCATCAGATATGTACATGTACATTCTGCAATGGAAACATATTGGACAATCTACAAGTGCTTCTCCTTCCAAGGTGCTCTGGGTATCTTGTTAAGAACTCTTGAATTAAACCTCTTGTACATTTTGCTCACCTTCCTCATCATTTTCCCAACATGATAATCGACTTCATTCTCGTATCGACTGTACAAATACGGCAACGTTTCCATGCTCACAAAGCCTTTGAATTCCATTCAATCAACCAAAAACTAATTACTTCAACGCTTTCTATGCTTTAAAATCATTAAATTTGTCATCAGGTGATAAATCTTACCAATGAAGAGGAGATTCACGAAGTCGAAATAAGGTCCGATCACCGATATTATGTACAGAGAAACAATCACCTGCAGATTACGATACGTTTAGGGAAAAAAAATAAAAAAGTAGATTGGAGCATAATATATGCAACTGATGGTGATAGCAGAAAGAAGTTGAGAGGGTCATTTCCACCGGCAACGTGGAAGAATTTGTTAATGAACTGATTGAACCTCCACCGGAAGACGGGAACAACTTCATTCAAGTTGTTTTCATTAGACAACAACTCGGGGATCTTCGGACGATTCCTGGAGAAAGTTTGTGTATCAGTCAACAATGGTTTAATTTGCATGCAGACACGTGCGAAAAAGTTTGTGTATCAGTCAATAATGGTTTAATTTACATGCAGACACGTGCGAACTCAGAATTTCGAATTTCTAAGGAGAATAAAACTCCATTCTACTATTTAAACCGCTCAATAAATTCGCATGTAAACACATAAATGGGGATGAAGAAAAAGAAGAGTATTGCTCCATCCAAAATAATCAGCAGAAATGGAGCATATGAAGAGGACAAGCACGGTGGTGATGCAGATCTGGCCGAGGAGGGTGACGAAATTGTACTCGACCACCTCGAAAAGGAACCATATGGTTGTTACCCCCATTAGTAAAGCCGCTGACACCTCTGTGTTCCTCCACAGAAACACATCCGCAACTGATATTTCAATTTTGCTAATTAGGCTCAAAATGCCGACTTGAAAAAGGTTTTGATAAAATGGTAATCCATTTGACTGATAAAGTTAATCCTGAAGATTGTTCAGAAAAATCCGATTATTTTTCTGAAAAATTTAAAAATTATTCAACATCTTTTAATTTCATAATCTCAATTCTTTAAATCTTATATATCGTTGTCAAATTGACCACCACCAATCATTTCTTATCGTGAAACTCCCATTGGTCGATCCGCGTTCTCCCAAAATCTCACGTTCTCTCTAAATCTCGTTGTATAAAATTATTTTTTTATCACTTCAGTCGTCAGTTCGTTGCTGATGATGAAGTTTCACTATCGCTCCATCCTCTGATCATGTGTCATTGTTTGATCTTTGATCTTTAAGGGGATTTGGAGATTAAGAATTTGGGGTTGAGAAATTAGAATTTTTAGGTGTTATTTTTTAAAAAAAGAATAGTTTTTCTTATTTTTAGAAAATTAATATTAATAAGAAATTAATATTATGTGTCATATAATCATTGATTGTAAGATTTTTTTTAACTACATTGACGAGATGATAGTAACAGAACGAAATTTTAGGTACCTTAAATAGTAACAAAAGAAACATTAGACACATACTTTTACAAAAAAGAAAGAAAGGAAGTGCTCCTAATAAGGTTAGAACTCATGACCTAAAGAAACAAAAGAGAACAAAGATGAGGATCTTAGACAAAGTGACTAGATATGTTTACTCATCGAATCTATATATTATAGGTAGAGAGAGAGAGAGAGAGTACCTTTTCCTCCTCCAAGAATGGCATCCATAGGCCTATGACGTGCAAAGAGCTTAACCCGTGGGGTGGTCTCATTGTCGGAGTCGGACGATGATTCAAAGATGGGCATTGTTGGAATCTGTATACTAATTCGGATGTAATGTGTCTCAACATATCTTATATACCAAAATGCATGGGGGTTCCAAGCTTGGTACGTAAGTAAAATAAAGAAGAAAGGAATGGCTTCTGGGCTTTAATTTCCTTTGCAAACCTCATATATTACTTTGCATGCCCGCCACTTACCATTAAAGTTGTACCAATTTTACATATACTCTTACGTTAATACCAATTTTATATAATAGCTTCTTTTGCACGAATCAAGTGGCCTATGTGGTAAAGAAAATTATCAGTATTCTTTGAGGACCTAGGTTAGAACACCAAGTCTGTGAGCATTCAATGTCAAACGTTGAGAATTATCTTTGAATATATATTGTCTTGTAATTACTCTAGATTAATTAAAAAAATAGCTTCTTCTTCATTTATAATCCTTTTCATTTGCTTTAGCTTCATACATGTTATTTTCTCAGAGGATTTGAATTTGAATAGTTGTATCTGCAAGGTATATATATATATTTTCGGTAGAATAATTTTTTTTGAACATATATTATTTTATAATAACCACAACTTATTTAAAAAAAAGTAATTTTCATTAAAATTTTCTTTTTTAATAAATGGCCATGTACTTTTCAGTGTAACTGGATTTATTCTTTATGTGTCTCGGGGTAGTGTCTACTTGGTAGGGGTGTTTAGATCCAATCCGATCCAAAAAAATAACCGAAAAAAGATCTAAAAAATCGATAACCGAAAAAAACTGAAACCGATTTAGTGTGTTCGGTTTTTTTAAACCGGTCGGTTCGGTTTGGAAATCCGAAACTAATCCAAACCGAACCGATGAAATGAAATATTGAATTTACAAGCTTGAAACAAACCCATCATAAGCCCCACAAAATCTCACAAAACCCATATACAGATACATATTCAGTTTTTCTCGATACGCACGTAACAATTTTGCTCCAGATTCTAGTTATCGATGTTAATGAAAAAATAATTGTAATAAATGATAATAGCAAAGAAGGATAGTATATTCTTTTGGCATTTCCTCGGTTCTGAAGTAGAGAGAAAATTGTCGGACAAAACTTAGAAAATGTGATGTTTTACTTTTATGGGTGACTTACTGACGAGAAACTGATTTGTTTCTTGATTTGTTAAAATAGATATTCTCTTTGTAAGCTTCACAAGCTTGCATTTGTTAAAATATAATTTTTTTTTGCTTTTGTTAAACATATGTATTTTTATGAAAAAAAATTCAAGAATTATTTTGAAAAATTAGAATCCAAAAACCTCACAAATCCAAACCGAATCAAGCCGCACTTAATTGGATCGGATCGGATTTTTTTAGAAACATTCAAACCGATCCAAACCGCAAACATTTATACTTTAAGATCGGATGAATTTTTAGTCAAAAACCGATCCAAACCGACCGCGAACACCCCTACAACTGGGTGGAATTATCGATTAGTTGACGTTGATACGATGAATACAAATAAAATGCTTAGATTATGAATTTAGAAAAAACAAGTCTTGATCAATCTGTGCTTGTGAATCTCAATGCATATGTTTACTTGTCTGAGGCACATTGATTTGAAAACATTTAATTCTTAATGTCCCTGGACATGGGGAAAATTACAATCAAATATAAAACTGTTTATAAAATAAAATACAACAGTTCCTAATATTTTATTATATATGCCTTTTTTAAAAAATTAAATGGGTAAATCAATGAACTGACAACAATACAAATAGTTTAAATACACAAAGTAGAAAAACCAACTAAAAGTGCATGACAATCGAAGAAAATCTCAACAACTTGTTTAAAGTACTGGGTGAGAATTTCCTAGCAAATAAGTAGCAAACGTCCACTACTCTTCCATTATAATAGCACTGTGTGGAACTTCTTATGTTCTTCAAAAACTCTTCGGTTACGTCCTTTCTACGGAACCTATTCGGATGAGGTCCTCCCTTGGACCAATCCACGTAAGTCAATGTTTTATACGCAGTTCGGTCGGGAAACTTCATGTCAACAAATGTTGGTAAGTAGTGCTCGTCCCCATAGCATTCGTTCTTGCAATATAGCCAGAAGATGGGGAAATACGTTTTGTCGGTGATTACTTCGACCGCAAGAAACCGATCGATCTGGAACCATTGAGAGCCTTTTCGCCATTGGTCGAGAAAAATCAACGGAGCCATGTTGTTGTTGTATCTGCCACGGCCGACCGGACCTGGTAAGTCGTACGACTCGATGAAGGATTTGCTTGAGTTGATGAGATAATCGTAAACGGTAGAGAAATTGAAGAGAGGGATACATGATTCCGAAAGAAGAACGAAACGTTCGTTGGTGACGTCGAGCAATGCATTTGCTAATAGTCGACTTTCGGCTTCCACCATATTCATTTCTCCCCATCTAGCAATCTACATTAGTTCATGTCGGTGTTAATATTAATGTTACAAGAACATAATGAAAATAATCAGTGATCAAATGAAACTGCGAGAATCATATAGCATAATAATAAAATTAACTCTCAATGTTTGTATGAACGATTACTTTTACTCTTATTTTTTAGAGCATTTAACTGTTAACGTTTCAATTTTTCTATCAAAATAGCTTATGGTAGATGGAAACTAATAGTTATTTATCGATCAACGCAAATTGTTAATGTGACAATTACATATATATATTTAATTACTGACGTGATATATGTCACATCATTTAAAATGATGTCATGACAAATATCATATTATCAATTAAGTACATATGAAAATGTTACATTAGTATCTCATGCATTGATATGTAAAAGTGGAATTGAAACCAACCTTACTAGGAATCCAGCGACCATGAAAAACAGAAGACTTGGGCATTGATTCAACGAAAGAAGGATCAGAATGAACGTAGATGGAATACAAGCCTTCATGTCCTCTAAAGAATTTCTCCCAAAGTGGAGCTAACAACACTTTTCCTCTCGTCAAGAACATAAACGCCACTTTCTGGATTCGTCTGTCCGGAAATTCTTGAATTTTCGGAACAAACGACGCCCTCCAAAATAACTCCTCATCCGTCATATTATGCCTAGTCCCCGGCGGTTCAAACAATTCCTTCACACAATTCCTACGTGGTCGTTCGCAAAATTTTATGTTAATGGGAACATCTAAAATTTTATAAGAAGACAAGTTTATAAATTTTAAGACAAAAAATATATTATCAATACAAAATATAAAAAAATATATCTAAAATATATATAATAATTTAAAACTTTCATGGAGCGACTGCTCCACCGTCTTCTTTTGTTCATCCTTGAATACCTGCGCTTTCTTTTCATCTTTCTCATTGGTGAAGGAGTATGATTTTTTGCCATCGGAGAAGTCGGTTGAACGAATGCATCCTGCATTCGGTTTTCAATATGGATGTTCGAGGGAACGGCGGGGAGAGTCATAGATGGTGGAGGAACAGAAGCGTGGAAGGCGGAGAGTTGATTGAGTTGGAAATCCATGGAGCCATCTTTAAAATAGAAGAAACCGAGAGTGATCCCTATGCCCAAGCCTAAACCAAAGAGGATGAAATAGGAAACGATGTCGTGGAATTGGATAGGGGAATTGTGGAGCTTGGTGGCGGATACTGGAGAACGCTCCACCGTAATTTTCTTCATCATCAATGAGGAAGAGGCAGTGCCGCCGCGGGGTGGTGGTGTTCTTCTTTCTTGTGGCTTTTAATTATGACAAGAGTAAATTGTTGTTGTTGTCGTCGTGATGGTGTCAACGTGAAATTTTCTTTTTTTCCTTTTGTTTTGAATACGAGAGATAGAGAGAAAAACAGGGACGTACATAATCTTTTGAGTTACAAACAACACTCCAAAGCTTCTTCGGCTCTCTCTCAAATATTTGTTTTTAACATTAACGGCTAATATTGTACAATAATTATAGCTTAATTGCACCCAATTAAACCTGTGAAATGGGTGGCTCGAGCTAGGTTCGATAGATTAGATTGGAATTGAATCAGATCAATTTCAAATCTAATTTCTATTTTTTTTTGGTTATCCTCCCGATTCTAAGGTTTCACCTTGATTAAAATTTCTCAACAAGGATTTTTTACGTACACAAGAACTCGAACTCAAGACCTTACTTAAGCAATATCAAGTTGTTTATCACTTGAACAAACTCATGGTAGCAAATCCAGTTATTAAGAGTTTAAAATTTTAAGATAAATTTAGATTAACTTCGAGTTGGAACAATTTTAAGTTGTGTTATTTATTTGGTTTAGGTTGTGAGGGTTTGAGTCAGTTATGGACATTCCATATTCAGTGATCCAAGTTGCATTTATCGTATGAATAATTTTGGTTCGTATATTATTTTTCTTTTGATTAATTTAGAGTGATTATAAGTGATAATATTTCTAAAAAAAATTAATTAATAATTAAATATTGTACAATTGTCGATGTTTAAATCTAAGACTTCTAGCAATAATAATTATTCCTTTTAACTATTAGAATAATTTGATAAATGCTTGATTCATATATTATTAAATTCAAAGTTATTAGTAGATTTTAATCAAATATATATGATTTGATCACTAAAGCTATTCAACCGAATCATATTTTTTAAACATATATTTTTATGGTTTACCATATAAATAAATATGTCAACGAGAGTTGATATAAGTGGTTGGGATTCATAAATTTAAGTTTGTAAGGCTAAATTCAAATCTTTCAATCATTATTTTTTGTAGGCAATCTATAAATTCCTATATAAATCCCAATTTGATCTTAGATATATTTTTCTTACCCAAAAACCATATAAATAAATATTTACTCGGAATAATTAATCAATTTATAATATAATAATGAAAAATGCCCAATTACAACTGGTTAAATTTCTACTACTCCCTTTACTAGCCGATATTGAAGAGAAAAACAATATGTCTCCCTTTTTCTTTATTTTTTTCCCATGGAAAATTTTGAAAGCTTGAGAATCCCATTTTTGTCACTTTATCCCACCATCAGATTATTTAATAAAAATCTCATCTTTAAGAA